GTATTGGCCATAAAGAGGGAGTTTATTTGTGTATGTTTGATCCCTTCTTACTTGCTGAATAAATGACCTGTATTTGTAGTTCCTTCACTCTATAAGACTTCATTCAAGATGATCTAGTTTCCAAATCTACTATATCATGGGCAGTGAGCAGTGACATTTCCAGGGCATTAAATGTTACTCGATTCACATGTAGATACAGAGACACAGCCCCAGTCTAAAGTGAAATTGCTCGTGTTTTTCCGTATGCGTGAATTGCCTTAGCTTCAGCCCATCTTTTAGGATGGTGGACAGACAGAAAACTGGAATGTGCTTCACTTTCAAACAGAAGAAATGACTTTCACATCAGGTATAGGATGAGCAAAGTATAGTAATATGTTCTCTTCTAAACATTTAAAAGTTTCTTAGTCACCTGGGAGAAAATTCTGGTTTATTGCATTCTCTCTAAAGTTATGGCTTCCCAATCCTGCCAGAAACCTCTCAGTGTAGGGATTTCAACTCTGAAAACTGGTTTTAAATAGAGACACATTACACCTCCCCACAGAGCACTTGCCATGAAATTACTTCTTAAGTTCAGCTCAACTGCCAGATCCCTTCAGGCTGGTATATTGAAAGGGCATGGCTTTTCCGGTCTCCAAGTTGTGCCAATTGGCCCAGATATTGCCCAGCTCCTCTTTCCTTCCTGAGTCTCTATGCTTGGTAATATTTCATCAGCCACATGAATTCACAAGTACTTGCTGACTTACATTGTGATAGTTACTAGGAATGATAGTAAAAGCAGAACAAATATTTTAATGTGTGAAGACAAATGAAGGAGTCCCATCTCTCCCTGGCCTGCCACGACAGTGTTATTAGAGCACTGTGGAAGTCACGACTGCCAGGCTGGGAATACAATGCAGGTGGGAAAACACTTGCTGTACAAGCTTGAGAATCTGATTTGGTCCTCACACCTGTGTGAAAATACAATTGGGGGCACACACTTGCAATCCCAGTGCTGGGAAGGTGAAGACAGGCAGATCCCTGGAGCACGATGGACAACCAGACTAGCCTAATCCATGATCCTAATCCTCATCAATGATCCTAATCACTAGGATCAACAGACCCTAGTGAAAGGCACTTAAAACAAGATTAATAAAACAAAACAAATACAAAGTACATAGCTCAGGAGGAATATCTCAGGCTGACCTCTGGCCTACATCACACACACACACACACGCACGCACACACACACACACGCACACACACACACACCATGCACAAATATATATGCGTGTACACATACCTGTTATATACAACACACACAAACACTCATCTACACACACCCACATGGGCACACACATACAGCTCTACATCTACATACCTTCTGCTTACATACAATCATTTCTAGTGTTAATGATAAGTCTGTAAATTTATATTCTGAACACTCTTTTTACTGTTTATTTTTCTGTAAAATAGGAAATATGAGAGGTTAGGCCTATAGGATTGCCTGATTTTTAGCTGTTGGCCTGAAACTCACAGAGATGTGTTTGCCTCTGCATTTACAATCTGTGATTAAAGGCGTGTACCGCTACATCTGGTCCTCTAATGGAGGCATTTTCTCAGTGAGGTTCCCTCTTCTCAGATGACTCTAGTTTGTGTCAAGCTAACACCAACCAGTCAGCAGCTCCCCTTCCTCTGAAACCTATGAGTAGGGGTGTCCTTGTAGGGGTGGCCTGAACTTGTCCCAGAGTTTCTACGATGCTACTGTCTACCTATGCCCTTATTAGCTCCTTTAGCAGATCTCTTACACAAAGGAAATTCATTTCATCGTTTCCGTTGAGCCTCAAACCTGAACCTTTTTCCCCTAGCACTTCTAAGAAACCTTTCATGTGTAAGGAGAAAGTGAGGGAGATACTCTACTTCCTTAACTTTTCCTATTATTCACCCTTAATGGGCACCAATGACAGGCCAAATGAAAATTTCAACAAAGTCCAAGATGATGAGTTTAAAGGACTTTCTTATAGAACATAGGTGAAGAGTTACTTAAAGTAGCATGGCTGACTGAGAAACAGCTGCATCACCACAAAGTCCCACCCATCACGGATGGTACTCTCATGAAAGCTACACCATGGACTCTCCCTTCCGATTAACTTTCTACATCATCACACCCTACCATCTCCCAATATCACTTGCACCGGGCTGGTGATGTGTGGTGAAGATGGGGGTGGAGACTAGAGTGGAGGAAGTTTCTAAAAACAATCCCAGATGATGATCTTGTGACCTCCTACTTCTCTCTGTTATGAATTGTCACCAGCTCCATTACCATGACCATAGATGTGACCATCACTGTGTTCTTCTCTAGCTGACACAGCTACCAAGCCAAGTTAATCCCTACTTCAAGAAGGCATCATGTTAGGCCTAGAGAAAAAGCCATACAACAGGGTGGATTTGTGGATGTCAGTGTTCAATCTAGAGTTAATACCATAATTTGCAGGACTTGGCGGCAGACTGGCTGTGTACCTGAAATAAGATCCTGATGATAGCTGACTTCATTCTGTGGGACAGATAGGCAAAGAATTGACTGTCTGGGAAAGCCAACGGACTGAGATGCAGAGAGAAGAGGGTAAAAACAGATACTGAGCACTAGTTGACAGCTCCTGTTGGGGTGGGAGGGAACATAGAACACACCCAGACTTGGGAGTCCTAAGGTGATAGGGGTTCAGTCAATCACATTTTGTCTGTGGGGCGTGTGTAAGGCAAAAATTTACCTATAAACCTGGAGGGTGCATCCCCCCCCCTCGCTCTGGCCTGGATCCAGCGTTCCTGATGGTTGGGATTCTGGTGTAAGTTTCTCCTTCTGTTTTATTAAAGCTATATCTTTTGTAACATAGTCTGGGGACCTTTCATTACCCATCGCACTGCGTCTTCATCTGGTGCTCGACTGTAGGGCTTTTTTTTTTATTCCCGCGGAGCCTCCAGGTTGCCACGCGGTCGCTGTGAGCCAGCGGCCCCTTCCCCCTCCCCCTCGCTGCCGCTGCCTCTGTCCTCACTTATTACACAGTTGTTCATTCTCTTAGTCTTCAAGTTAGATAGATAGAAATTAATAGTCACATATGTTTGTTATATTTATATTTAGGATAATCAGGTTACTTAGGTGCATAAAGATCATATTTAGGATAGATAGTATAATCTTCAACCTCTTTGAAGAGCTGTAGAAAATGGTCTTTAATCTAACTCATAGTTCTATAGTAGTGAGACACAATCGCTCCTGGCATCACCGCTCTATTCCCGAGAGAACATTCAGCACCAAAGACACTCCACTTGGAGCGTGTCTTCTTCCTGGCAAAACTGGCCTTTGGGCAAAGAAAAGGCCCATACCTCAAACACTGACAAAACTACAAAATATCCATAAATGGATAAAAGCAGGATTGTCTTATCTTGCCAAGACAGGGTGAGAGAGTCCTAAAAGGTTTCTTGCCTTTGAAAAATGGCATGTCAGTTACATCAGGCCTTAGCCAAAGTTGGTTGACTCAACATTGCAAACGAGAATTTGGGTGATTGCCCAGGTATTCAGTTGTCTCTTCCATTTGGTGCACATTTCAGAAGTTTCCCGCTTGTACTTCCGGGCTGCTTGAGTAAAATTATTTCCCTTCTCAGATCTTTGATGGAGTTGAAGATTAGATAGTTGTAGTTACCATCTACATTATTTAGATTCCTTGAAATAGAATGTTTAGTAAGACTTTTGTTATATGCTTCTTGCTTAATATTGTTTGTTGTTTGTAATTTTATATTTATTATTTGTTTCTGTTGTATATAGTGGTATTTGGTTTTGTTCTGCCTTATTTTAGAAAAAAGGGGGAGATGATAGGGGAGTTCAGTCAATCACATTCTGTCTGTGGGGCGTGTTGCCCTAAGGCAAAAGTTTACCTATAAGCCTGGAGGGTGCACACACACACACACACACACACACACACACACACACACACACCCGCTCTCTCTCGCTCTGGCCTGGATCCAGTGTTCTGGATGGTGGGATTCTGGTGTAAGTTTTTCCTTCTGTTTTATTAAAGCTGTGTCTTTTGTAACATAGTCTGGGGACCTTTCATTACCGATCACACTGCGTCTTCACTTAGAATGTGTGTGGGAGTGTGGGTCTCTGGGTTAGACATTTTGTAAGGCTCTCCCAAATATCTGCCTCTGAGCAGGCCTTCTCCTTCCTACCACCTTTCCCATGGGAAAAGAAGCAACCCCTCTTAGGAGCTGGGTCCATGATCTCCCTGCACAACCCTTTAACCTCTTTCACACTAAAGGTATTGTGGGCTGGCCTAGGTCCTCCAAATTCATATGTTAATTCCCAGTATGTCAAAACTGACTGCACTTGGAATAAGTGTTGTGTCCAAGTTGAGAGCCCCAGAGAAACCAACACCAAGATCCAGTCAAGTCCAGAATGCAAAAGTAAGGTTTATTCAGCATGTTTTCCAGCCAGGCCGGGGGCTCTACTCAACGCAGCGCAGTAGGGAAGAGACCCCCTCATCATTTGGGGTTGACGTTATATAAGCAAAAACCACAAGCCAGGTTTACTCAGGGTCAGGGGGGGGTTAGTTTGCTGAGCACAGGGTAGGGACTACTTCTGCATACCCTCTTCCTCCTTTAAGCGACTACTTCTGCTTCTGTGCATACCCCCGGCCACCCCCTAAGCAGTTATTTTCTACTCCTGTCTAGACCACAAAGCTGGGTGTCCACACGGGGATAGCTGTTAGGGACAGTTGGTTTGCACTTTTGCAAATGCTTCTGTTTTCAGCTGACTCTTGATGCTCCACAGTTTCTTGAACCCAGTGTCTTAACCAGCTTCTGATCAAGCAAAGTTTTTTTTTTTTCATGTCCTTACAATAAGTTCTTGGGGGGCGGGTGCTGGCATAAAGTACCCTTCAGATGTGTTTTTTTAGAACATCCTGGCTACAGGTAGCTATTAAGAAAAAAAAATAAGAAAGACAGCTCTGCCGGCACAAAGAAATCCAATTAGGTCAAATCAAACAAAATAAAAATGCTCATCACTTTATTAAGCATGGCACTCTAGGACGGATACTCCCAAGTTAACATTCCAGACTCTTTGGATATAGGGGTGACAAGAAGTTGAAGTGGTAGGTTCTCTTTGGAAAAAGGGCATAGACTCAAGTCTGGCTACTTCCTGCGGGCATGGGGGGATGTTGGGAGGTGAGAGCTGGGTGATGGAAAGGCATCCTGTTCACTGTCATCCCAGAGACACCAGGCATTTGTTTCTTGAGATAGGTAAGAAGGCAGGTGTCTAGGAGAAAAAAATTTTGTTATTATTGGACTTATGAAATGGGGCTAGCCATGGACACAATAGCAGATGGAACCAGATTTTAGTTAGCAGGTGTCCATGACCCAGAAGAGCTGATACAGGTGCTTTTGGTGTTGTCCTGGGAGCGCTTTGTAGGTTGGTCTTGGCTTAGGCGGCAGGAGTAACCTGAAAAATATGGAAACTGGAAACTTAAAACTGGAAAATTAAAATTAAAACCTTAGATTTTACCAGACCTGATTTTGGTGTAGTGATAGGACTTTTCTAGAAACTGGAACAGATTTTATTTTTTGGTGTCATGAATTCTGAACCTCTGAAGGTTGAAACCTGTTCATCCTGGACTATGAAGCCTGTTAAAGTTGTTAAAGCCTTGAGTTGTCAAATGACTTTAGACATTTCCTGTGAGGAAAAGATGAGCAAAAAATGAAACAGCTTTTGGACAGCAGGCAATCCCAAGTCCTCTCCTTGCCCTTGGAGAGCATCAAGCTTAGAAGCAGTGTTTGCTATTAGCTGTTGAGTGAGAGAGGCCCAAAGATATTTTTCTGTGAGCAGGAAGACTATCTTACCGGGCTTGGCAGGAAAAGCCGATCAATTCTCTGTGTAAAAGGATTCTTTTTTGTTTCTGCGTGGGTGCTTTGCAAATCCGGAGGAAGCTTAGAGATGGTAGGTCTTTTGTTTTCTAGGAGGAGATGCTGCAGAAGCTGGCATGTGTCTGTATTAGAAGCTCTATTTATTGAAATGCCAATAATCTCAAGTATGTAAAGGCATTTGAAAACCAAGTATTATTATTTGGTACTTGGCATATAAGTTAAATATTTTAAAGCTGTTGTAATCTGGAAGTACATATAAACACAACACTCAAATTCACAATACAAAAACACAGTTACACATTTATATAAACATAGTGGCCACATTATTTTAACAGAGAAACAGGATAGACCTGTGTCAGTTGACTAGGCATTGCAAGAGAGAACAGAAACATAAAGAGGAAACACTTTCGTAGAGTTTAGAGTGGAAGGACAAAAACGGATTTGTCAGCAGGGAAAGGCAGGGGAGACTAGGGAAATAGTTTAAGTGCCTCCCCCATGAAGCGGCCGCTGTGTCTCCGTAACTGACAGGCAAGTGCCACTCCGCAAACAGGCCACCGCGACACTGGAGTACTTTGGAAAGCAGCTTAGAATTGCAAAACGGCTGTGCAGCGCGGAAATGTGTTTGCACTTGCACACTCGCAGGGAAGAGGCAGAAGTCACGGCGGGACCAACAGGGAGCACCAATGAACAGAGAAAGAACAGCAGAAGGGGAGGAACGGAAGCACCAAACTTGAAAAAAACGTGAGCTTGGAGCGTAATTTGCATTAAGTTAGATTGTTGCAATTTTAAAAGGGTTTTTAAAGTGCCTACATAAGGGCATTTGAAATCAGCTAGGAATCGCAAGAAACCCACGTTAAATGCATGCCACTGACACGAGCCTGTCCAAGTGTGTCCACCGGAGCAGCACCAAGTCAGTCGTTAATATATGGGGGACATGAGAAATTGGGTGGGAACGTCTTCCAGCACCCAAATCCCATCTCAGCAGGAGGCCTGGCCTCTGCCATGTGTCAGAGTTTTGGCACAGCCCTGACTCCAACAAAAGCCTGAAAAAGTGAATGAGTCACCCTAAAACCCTACCTGCATGCAGTTTAAAAGGGAAACTCACCAAGTGAAACTGTACTTGCCTGGTGGAGCGCGTGTGCAGGAAGGCCCATTTTCCAGTGTAGCCCTGGACCCGAGGTCCTGAGGCCTGGGTCCCACAGGAAAAACTAAGGATCCTTGGTAGGAAACCTCCATATGTTAAGAAAAAAAAAAATAAGAAAGACAGCTCCGCCAGCGCAAAGAAATCCAATTAGGTCAAATCAAACCAAATCAAAATGCCCATCGTTTTATTAAGCATGGTGCTCTTGGGTGGTCAAGTGCATGGCGGGGAGACAGGAAAGCAGGGAGCCCATGCAAACCCGGAACCACAGGTTTCTCCTCTGGGAGCCCATTTAAATACCCTGTGGGAGTGGTCCCGAGGGGTCAGGACCTGGCATGCTGGGATTTGGAGTCCAGACCAATATACTTCCAGGCCAGGGGGCTGGGACAGAGGCCAGGGGCTGAGGGCTATGCTCCCAACTTTACAGTAGTCATGATCAGATCTTCAAGTGAGAGAGCGGGCATTCAGACAGATGGAGCATCATAAAGTTCCCAGGAGCAGGATGGGCAAGCTCCACACCAAATGGTCTAGCCTGGTCTGGCCTATGTGCTAGGATTGAGGAAGGAACCAATAAAAGTAAAATTTTAAGGTATAGTTGTCCTGACCTACAAATCAGGGCCCCCAATCTTTCTGCAGCTACAAGTGGGAGGGAATGAATTGCCAGGGAGAAAGACTGCTGATTCAGCCTGATTTCTGGGAGATAAAGAAAGTCAACTAGAGAGTCTGTGATCTGGCAGGGTCTTTAGAGAAGTACTAAGTTAAATGAGATCATTAGAATGCACCCAATATAGACAGTAGAAATTAAAATCTAGGCATAGGTAGCCATGTGGGTACTGAGAGAACAGATACCTTAGGATTTGGGCCGATGTTGGGTAGTAAAGGAAGGGAAAACTTGCAGACTGTAGGTCTAATCCTGCTTCTGTCTGTCAGCTTTGTGGCTCCTGGTGAGTCAGTCACCCCTCCTAAGCCCTGGTGTATTATATAACGAACAAGCTGTATAAAGTCTGAGGGTTTTGCATTTGAGTCTGGAACTGAGGAAAGGGAGGAAAGCAGGGTAGGAACAGGCACCTGGGAGGTGCATAAGACTAGACGGTCACCTGGCATCATCATCCCTCCTGTACAAGATGGAGGGAATGGGGCTGTGGAGAGTGAGAAAAAGGGAGCTCTCCTGGGAACTGTGGGCACACAGTTTAGGAGGGAAATGCCACCGTCTGTGTGTTGGGCTTGTCTGGCCTTCGATGCTGTGCACAGGACCAAAGTCAGAGAGTTCACAGTGGTCGGGACTTTCTCCCAGAAAGGAAAAGACGATGCATCAATGCAAAATTTATACAGAAGTAAAATTTTATTTTAAAAATGAGTAAAGAAGTCAAAACAAGTTATGAAATTTTTAAGCAGGCAAATAAAAATTATTAAAAATCCAGGAAAACCATACACGTTTGATTAATTAACTGCTCCACATGCTTCTTCTTGCCTCACATTTTGGGTCCCACACTATGATTTTTCATAAAGATTTTTTGAGAGGGGAACAGAAGGATGATTTTGTTTTCCTGTAACCCGGATGAACAAAACTTGACAGTCATTAAAAGTGCCTTTCCACTATAGAACTTGTTGCTGGTAATCAATAGCATGTATTTTAGGGATTGTCCAATTTGTGCAAGGAAAGCTTCTACAGGATTTTTTGTAATTGAGCTTAAGATTCTTTCACGGTTTTCTTAAGCAGTAAGTAATTCTAAATACTTAATAATCTTGGCTTAAAGGACAGTGTTTTAGTATTCAGTAATTAGTTTGCCCTACTGGTAGCAGTCCATTGGGAGTTTTGTGACTGTTTTCTTCATCAAATCAAGAACTTTAAAATATTTTCCAGTGTGTGACATGAATTCTGTTTCCATATCACTAAGTAATCCAAAAGCCTGATAGAGACCCATCCCACCTACTTGATGCAGCATCTCTGAGGGTATAATCTGAATTTTATGTTACAATTTGCTTCTTCATGTCAGTAACTTCTAGCAATTTCACTTGAAATTGCATGGAGACAGGCATGGTGTGCCCGGGATGGCATTCATTGTTTTATTGAGCAGACTCCTTCCAGGAGGAAACCACACCCACAGTTCACAGTGTTACATCTGGTGATGAACATCTCCACTGCTGTGGAGTCAGAACCCTACACACAACAGGCACTGTGCTGAGGCCATGTTCCCACTGCTGTGAGCCTGCTCGTCACAGCACTGCCTGGCTGGAGCTGTAGGAGTCATTCTGGAAACCATTCTCAAACGAGCAGAGTTGGCAACAACTAAACTCTAAATGGCTGTGTACCATTTCATCACAGTCAGGAACGGCAGCTTTAATCAGCAGTGGCCACAGTTCACTCTTGTATCTTCTGAAGAGCCATGTATGCTTGCTGGCAGCTGTTCCTCATGGTCCAGGAGAATGTAAGTGCGCTTTGTGGGCATTATGGGAGGTCAACCTGCAGGTCCTTGTACGAGGCATCATTTCTAGGGCTATAAAATGTCTTTCTACATTTTTCCTCAGATGCCTTCTTAATATGTAAGAATTTCCTCTTTTGGCAAAGGTATTGTCCCAATGCTAGCTATATTTCTCTTTAAAAATGCAATTTTAAAGGTGAAGTGGACCTGGAAGTGAAGTCCCTCTCCTATTGTATGAATTTATTCCGCAGGCAAGTTTGAATAAAACAATTCTGAAGATTCTGAAATAGAGGTCTGATGGGGAACCTCCTTCAGTCAATGGCCTTTGAGAGGCTGAACCAGGTTGGGTGTGGCCTTGGGTACCTCAAAAGATGTGGATCTGTCTGCTCTCCATCTCCTCACTCACCACTCCTGAATGTTGGATTCTGTTCCTGTTCCCCGTTGTGATCTGTGAGTTTCTTTTTAATAAAGAACCCCTTGTTATAGCCTATTTGGGATTCCTTTATTCGTGTTTCCCCCTTCCCCATCTGACACATTCCCCTTCAGAGACTCAAGGAAAGCCTAGAGCCTGGCAGAGTGGCAGGGAACAAAATCTTGTTATCAAAAATCTAATGTCAAGTCAAGCTGAACTCAACAAACAAACAGATAAAAACAAAGGCTAGTCTCTTTAGATTCTTTTCTCTGTAGAATGGGAGAAGTGGTGACTCACACCTGTAACCCCAGCAAGAAGGAGGACTGGGAAGAAGTGAAAGACCCCCCATTAGGGGAGACTCTCACTCGAGCCTCGGGATGACGCGAACCCCCCCAGTAACTCACGCGAGACCGTCCTTACTGCAATCACACGAGGTTTAATGACAAGAAGACAAGACGACAAGACGGGGACCAGTGCACTGGGGCCGAGACTCATAACCCACGCAGGGGAAGAGTTCGACCTCGAGTGACTGGGAGAAGTAGTTTTTATAGGAAAAAACCACACAGCCCAGTAATCCGAAAAGGGGGGCAGGGAGGATGTCACAGAAAACTCTGAAAATTCCGGTGATGATTACAAGGGGGCAACTCTCTGCCTCTCAAGATCATTCTCAAGGTCGTAATCAGCTAGTTCCTATACCAATGATAATTACTAGGGGGTGATAATTACTAGGGGGAATCTCTCTGTTTCTTAAGATTACTCTTAAGATTACAATCTACCTTTATCTTCAGCCAGTTCCTGAAACCCTGAAATTGGTTAATCCTAGATTCCTGATTCTTCTCTTCCTGATAGATTTTTGGCTCTGTTTTCCTGCTAGGGGGATCTGGATTTATCCAGGTCTTTCAGAAGCAGGAAGATTGCTGTGAGTTTGAGATCACACTGAGCCACATAGGGAGTGATAGGCCTGCCAAGACAATATATTTTATCTCAAAAAAATCAATAAAAATATATTAGTAATAGTAATATTATCCAGAACTGATGTGTTGACTTGGGCCTGTAATCCCAGTACTCAGGAGTCTCATCAGGCCAATTGCAAGTTCCAGGCTAGCCAGGGTGATACAGACAGACCCTGCCTCAAAATAATACTTTTTCAGTGATATCACACACTTCTTCTCCCCTTCTCTTGTGTGTGTGTGTGTGTGTGTGTGTGTGTGTGTGTGAAGAGAGAGAGAGAGAGAGAGAGAGAGAGAGAGAGAGATTCACTGTATGGTTCTGGCTGATCTAGAACTTGCTATGTAGACCAAGTTAGTCTCAAACTCTCAGAGTTCCACCTACCTCTACCTCCTAAATGCTGGGAGTAAAGGCATTTAATTAATCACTTTTCTTAATAAATGTTTTAGATTTTGTTGAGTGCTCAGAGTAAATTGTAACAACAAAATTTTTCCAATTTATCATGACATCTTCGCACCTCACCTCACCCCAGCCATCTTGTCACTAGTTCCCACTTCCCAACTACAACTTAGGAGAACCCAATGAAAGCAGTACTCCACCTGTATCCTTGAAGGGTGACCTCTAGGGCACACTTTCCCTGAGGTCAGCATTCTGTGACCAGTGAGAGGTCAGCATCTCCTCTCACCTTTGCTTCTCTCTGCATTCAGAGAAGAAGAGGTGGGAAAAGCAGCAGAAGGGATGGAGAGCAGAGGGTGGAGGGCAAAGGGGACAGTGCATGAGAAGATCTGTGCTAGAAGGTGATGCCTCCCTACTGTCAGGGCAACAGGTCGAGTCTGGGGCTGCAGTTTTTCCTGAAGTGATTTTCTGTTCAGTTCCCAGTGCTCTGAGGACTTTTGTGACAATCTGTGCGAGTCACATCCTGACAGCTTTGAAGAGGCAGTGTCCGGCTAACTGAGAACACAATACCTAGGATGTTAGATAGAAGCTGGGTTCTCAAACACACAGCCTGGGGAGTTCAGGAGTAGAAGGGGTATGGTAGTGTCAAAATTCAATGACTACATCTACTTGGTGTACGCCTCTGGGAAGCTCCTGACTCAGTTCTCCTTTACAAAGTGAAATTATGCTCCTTGGTGAATGTAAGTACAAAGACCTATGTGTTGCCTAACATAATATCTGATAGTTGTAGATACTCCAGGGGACAGAGACCACAGAAGGAATAGACAGGTATCTCATTGAAATAATTCCCTAAGATTCTTTCATGGGCCAGACCGAAGGGGGTATCAAATATGTAGGTAAGTTGGAGGGGGAAATGAAACACCTGTGTATGTGACTCTAATAGTAAACAGGTGACTTCAAGGAATGGAGTGCCAGTGCAGTGGTTTGAATGAGAATGGCCCTCCATGGGCTCATAGATTTGTATGCTTAGTTACCAGGGAGTGGCGCTGTTTGAAAGGATGAGGAGGTGTGGCTCAGTGTGGCTTTGTT